CTGAACGGTCGGCCGTCTACACACCCATGATCGAGGCGGTGACTGGACTGTACGGCGACACTGACGAGCGCAGCCAAGTGCGCGTTCTGGTTCCGGGGGCAGGGCTGGGCCGGTTAGCGTTCGAATACGCCTCGTTGGGGTATAGCTGCCAAGGCAACGAGTTTAGCTTCTACATGCTGTTGGCGTCGCACTTTATCCTCAACAAGTCCACGCACGTCGGCCAGCACACCATCTATCCGTTTGTGCACTCGTCGAGCAACTGGCGTACGGCCGACGACATGCTTCGAGCCATCCGGATCCCGGACGTGCTGCCGTCGAGGCTGCCGCCGACGAGCGAGTTTAGCATGGTGGCGGGCGAGTTCTGCGAGGTGTATTCGCAGCCGCACGAGGCCAAGGCGTGGCAGGTGGTTGCGACGTGCTTCTTCATCGATACCGCCAAGAACGTGGTGCGCTACCTCGAGACGATCAACCATCTGCTGCCGGTGGGCGGCCATTGGATCAACGCAGGCCCGCTGCTCTGGCATTTCGAGAATGCATCGCGCTCCACGCCCGACCAGCTCAGCATCGAACTCACGCTCGACGAGCTCGTCCAGCTGCTGCCCAAGATGGGCTTTGAGCTCGAGCAGCGTCGCTCGCTTCCACCCACTCCGTACACGGGCATGCTCAACGGCATGCTCCAGTACCACTACTCGCCCGAGTTTTTCGTGTGTCGCAAAGTGCGCGACGTGGCAGCCGCTGCGGCAGTGTAATGGATAGATTGGGATTTTGTCATTTCGTCGAGTTTGCTGCCAAAGCACTACTAGCTTGTGTGAGCGGCGTGAGCGCTTAGACGCGCGCCTTGGCGTCGGTCTGGGCCGCCTTGAAGCGCTCCTCGGCCTCCTTGAAGTTGATGACCGACCAGATGTTCTTAAAGTAGTCTGCGGAGGTGTAAGGTGAAACAGTGTCAGCAAATGTACGGGCTCAGAAAGGGGCGGAAGGAATGTGCCGACTCACCAGCCTTGACGTTCTTGTACTGGAGGTAGAAGGCGTGCTCCCAGGCGTCGACGCCGATGATGGGGTGGTGGGAGATGAGCGGGTCCTGGTCCTTGGTGGTGACCACCTCGAGCTTGGAGTTCTTGGGGTTGAATCCGAGCCATCCCCAGCCGGAGCCCTGGATGGTGGCGATGGTGGCGTTGAAGGACGACTTGAGGTTGTCGAGCGAGCCAAAGTCGCGCTCGATGGCCTGCTTGAGCGGGCCGTCGTGGAGCTGTCCTCCGCCCTCCTTGGCGGGGGCGAGGTTCTTCCAGAAGAGCGAGTGGTTAATGTGACCGCCGCCGTTGAACTTGATGGCGCTCTGGAGTTCGATCTGCTTGCGCACGTCGTTGGACGAGATGGCCGAGTTGTAGGCCTTGATGGCGTTGTTGAGGTTGGTGACGTAGAGCTGGTGGTGCTTGGTGTGGTGGATGGTCATGATCTCCTCGGAGATGGCGGGCTCGAGGCCGTTGTAGGCGTAGGGCAGCTGGGGGAGAGTGTGCTCGGACATTTTGGCGATCGAGGAAACTATTGGTTTGGGTGGTGGAGGAGGAGGGAGTAATGACCGTGCGCCGAGTGAGGCTGGAATATATAGCGAGCGCGGCGAACGAGCCAACCGGTTGGCTGCGCGCCAAAAGAAGGCGTCTTTGGCTGCAATCAAGGCAACATCGGCGCAGCAGCAGCGGCTTCCAAGCCCGGAATCGCCGCCTGGCTGCTTCTCGTGAAAATCGGCTGCGCGGCCTGTTAGGCTGGCTGGCTGAGTAAAGTCCGAAGCGCAATCCCTGGCGCGGCGCCTTCCCGACACTTGCACCCGCACTCGCCGCGGCCTCTCCGCCGAGCATCCAAGCTTCGGCCGTCTTCGCTCTTTGCACTTCGATCAGAGGCCCAACTTCGGTGGCGCCGTCCGTCCAAGCTCTCGCCGCGAGTCAAGTGGAGTAAGCTGGTCCGTGCCCCTCCACCATTCAACACAGAGCCTTGACGTTCCGCAGCTTTGCCTCTTCCTCTTCTGCACGAGAAACCTTCGCGTCAGAGGGTGCTCAACGCTGTCATACTTGCCAACACGGAGTGCTTGGACTCTGAACGGTCCGACAAGGCGTAGGCTGTTGAGAGCTGGCTGAATTGACCATGTACGGTTGACTCAATATAATGACAACTGATGACC